GGTGCGGGTCTCGATTATTAGGTGCGCAGGCACTATCATGCAAAATAAGGTGATTTGAGATGATTTTTGACTATTTGAGCATAATGGGGGTGGGGTGAGTTTTTTGGGGGGCATTCATGCCCGCTAGATATGCTAGTGGGTGATCTGTTTAAATTGAAATATGTCAAAAAACAGTACACATAGGTGAAGATATAAAGAACCTTTTATAATGCATATATGCCTTGGAACTATTTGCAATATAGAACTGACTTATCATAATATTGTTACAATAAGTAAAATTTTGATAGATTTATTTATTTTTATTCGTGTATATTTTCTACTATTAATAGAAATCAGCAACTTGAAGAAAAGGAGGCTGCTTATAAACGTTTCAATGAATCGGTTAAGCTGTGTTCTGATTGGTTAGATAGAATGGAAGAGCGTGTAAGTCATTTAGACCTAGTTGCTGTGGATACAGATATTCTGAAGAAGCAACTAGATCAGTTTATGGTTAGTTTTTACCTATTTTGTGATATCAATACAATCATACTAATATAATTCTTCATCTGTTTTTTTCTCCATCTTCTTAACCGTCCTGTTTGCTTCAACATTATCCTAGAAAATGTCTTCATTTAATTGCAACACACATGAAGATGTAGGTTGGTCTTGGCCTTGTTTGTGGTGCTACATTTGCATGTCTCTCTTTTCTAGAAGTCATAAAAGGTGGTGGTGCTGTAAGGGTAACTTTAAAAATAACATTATTGACAATAATATAAGTATAATTAATCACTTTTAGCCTCTTCACCGAGAACACAACAATTTTTCATCAGCGGTTGATGAAATGAGTCGATTTGGCAAAGCAATTGAAACGTTGAGTGAAGAACAGGAGCGAATGGTTCGTTTATCAGCCCAGTTCCGTAACCAGCAAACAGAAATGAGAACAGTTGGAGGCTTTGCTGAAAGTGGAGGAAGGAGACGACGACCTTCCATTGGCTCTGAACTAGAATTTAGTGCATTTGTACAGGATGAAGGTAAAGTAAACCATTTAGAAAATGCAATGCCAAATAGCAATCTGTATTAATCTGCCTTTTATGTAATATCAAACTTAAAGAATGGAAGGAGCTGTTAAATCTAAACAAGTAGTGAATTGTTTACTTTGTTAGTCATGTTAATATAAATAGATATTAACATTTTTTGTAGTCAGTTTAATGTGCAAACCAGATTATCATCACAAATTCAGTAGTTTTCTAAACATGCTTGTCATATATTAATCATTCTTTCTATATATGGCATGTGATGTTTAGGTTTATCTGATATACAACGGCAGATCCTAGATATTCAGGATCGATACCAACTACTTGGAGAGAAGCTTACTGACCGCAAGTATGAGATCACCACTACTCAGAAGACTGTCCAGCAGTACCAGATGGAACTCAGTGAGTTCATCAACTGGATGAAGAAGACAGCTCAATTATTGAAGGATGAAGTGGTAACCGTAGCAACTGTGGAACAGGCTCAAAAAGCATTGGATAAGCATGAGGTGAGCTTACAGAGTTGTAATACCTCAAATCAACTTCATTGTGATTGGATGCTGGTTCGTCTCAGTGCATAACTGCTGGTTTACGACTCTGTGGTAGTCACACTCCTCTAGAAATAATATGATACTATATGATTTATTGGTAGCCACTTTTACAACAAGATGAATACTCTCTCATGGAGAGGTCCTAATTGGGCCATGATAAATGAAGATTGTTTTGGTATTCTTGTTGCTGAACCCATCTTCACGCAGACTTCCTTTCTTTAAATAACAAAAAATGTAATACAGATCATTTCATCAAAAAACAATCATCTTAGCGACAAAGCCACAACTTTTTTTTTTCTTTAGGCCCTTCAGAAAGATGTCAATGACCATTACAAGTACATGCAATCTATCATTGAACTTGCTCAAGAACTGACACCAAAAAAGAACGAGCATCCTGCCGGATATGACAAAATCAACTCTCAGATGAAAAATATGGGTGAGGATATTAAATATCCTTGATACATGTTGATTAAATTATTTGATTTCCAATTTCTATTAAACATAATATTGAGGGTGCCTAGATTTTATAAATATTATCTGGTTATTATGTGTATATTATGTGTTAAATAATACAATAATTTTCAATAAAAATGTTCAGTAGAATCCATATAATAAAATTGAAACTATTGTAATAAAAACAAGATGACGCTTGGTTACAAATTCAACATTTTATTGCACTACAGGCTGTTTCATTAGGTACTTCCTCAATCATCAGGTTGATGGCTGTCTCTTATACACATCTAGATGTGTATAAGTGAAGAATGTTGCTGTGTGTGCCAAACACCTTCGTAAACATTATTGTCTTGATATATTTTTTTTCTTTCAGAGGAACAGTGGAATGAATTGCAAAAGAGCCTCAAGCTCCAAGGAACTGACATCCATGGAATCATTGAAGCTCTTCATCACTTTGAAGATAGCTGGAGGCAGTTGAAGCTCTGGCTGGAGGAAACGGAAATGATCATGACAGTCCTTGGACCAATTGGAATTGCTCCAGACATTTTGAAAAACCAGAGACATCAGACTAAGGTAAGGATAAAATATTATGATACAAGGATTACAATTAAGTAAGATATGATAGATAAGGTAATAATAGGTAAAAAAAATAAGGTAAATGTAAAATTTTACCATACCTATGGAAGGTAACTCTTTTAGCTTATGCAGAATGTTAGCTGAGATTCAGGGCTGCTTTCTTAAACATATGAAATTATTTAATGCTTTCTCAATTTTTTATGATGTATTTATATTTACATTCTTTCAGGTATACCAGAAACATTTCCCTTCTCATGAGTATCTCCTGGACAATCTAAAGAAGAGTAGCCAAGCATTGATTAGTCGGTTTGCATCTCGTTCTCGTACATCATCTCCAATGCAGGAAAAGGTCAACGACATCACACGACTTTGGACTGACCTTTACCACCGGCTTGAGGATCGCCATGATAACATCAATGGTGTGCTGCAAAACAGCGAGAAATTTCATGGTTCTCTCAAAGATTTCTCAGATTGGTTGAATCAATTTGGAAATGTTGTAAAATCCCTTGCACCGATTGGTGGGAGTAATGAGGTCATTAAAAAGCAGATGGAAGAGACTATAGTAAGAATATATTTTTATTATACAATTTTAACATTGATTAGTATTACATGGAACTACAAACTCAAAGATTATTTGTAAAATTATTGAAATTATTCAAAAACATTCGTCTTCTGGGCCAGTCTGCCTTCACACTAGCTTTGTATATTAGATACTTGTCATGTTCTCAGCCTGTAAAACTGATTGCTGGGTAGTTTAATTTTACCATAAGAAATGCCTTGATTTGTACCATAAATGACTAGCATATTTTGTTAAAATTATCCCCAGGCTCTTCAAAGGGATGCAGCCCACATGAACCCTCAAATCCTGGCTCTGTTTACAAGTCAGAGTCAACTGCTGGACTTGAATCCTGAAGCAACATCTAAAGTGGAACTAAGCCTGAAGATGGACAGTGTGCAGATTCCATTTGAAGAGTACAAACGACGACTTGGTAAGGAAGTTAATACTCCTATCTTACATTATTATTATTATTATTATTAATGTTATATATATTGCCATTGAGTTGCTATAAAGAACATAGTGATTGGTGCCTTTTTTCTTAGCCAAAGGTATACAACAACTAATTTACAGTATATTACTAATTTGTAAAATAATAAAATATGGTATTTAATGTTCCCAAGAATGCCTAGGTTACATTTTTTATTATTATTATTATTTATTAATATTGCTACCACAAACTGGATTAATTATATTATCTTCTAACAGCACTGTAGATTCCATAACAATAAAATTTCATGGTTTTTCATAAAAAATGTGTTGATGTTGATGATGTTTATTTTTTTTTATGTAGATGAGCGGTTTGCAAGGCTGGAAAGTGCCCTCTCTGAGGCTGGTCATCTTGATGATTCCATAGCCACAATGATTAAATGGTTGGAATCGAAAGAGCACTATTTCTCGGTAGCCAAGCCCATCTCAGCCATTCAGGATAATCTTAGGTCACAGATCGCAAATCATCAGGTGGGCATTCATTATATATCACAGGAAACCACCACATCAATATCAAGAGAGACACTCAGCTTTGCCCAGTCATAAGAACCTGATTGCCACTGAAAAGTTATTAATCAATATGGCTGCAACATTGTGAAATTTAATTTAATTTGTTTTAAATTATCTATTTAGGTATATACAATACTGTATATACAAAACAGCAGCGAAATAAATCAAATCAAATCAAATCTCAGCCAATGGCTGAAAACGCTGTTTACAATAGCTAGATAAAAGTAGAAACATAAAAATGAAAACTATGGTACATGGTTATATGGCATTACAGTATGTTTTAATTATATGCATGGAAGCAATGCCATTGTGCTATTTAAGAGTAACTTATCTTCTATCATCATCATTGATTTTAATATATTTAATATTATTATTATTGTTTTTGGGTTTTTTTTCATCATTGCCATTATTGTTATTGTCTTATTTTTATGTAATCTTCATTTGTGTTTTTTTTTTTTTTTTACTAGGAGTTATCCAAGGAACTTGTGAAACAGGCATACAGCTATGATAGACTGATGGACCAAATCGAATCACAAATCAACAAGTTGAAGTATGGCGCGGAGCACGACAAACTAACTGCTTTGCATGATGACTTGAAGCGACGCTGGGAAGGGGTGAACCATAAGGCCAGCGAGATAGACCTCAGGTTGAAGGATTGCGACAGAAGCTGTCAGGCCTTTCTTATGGATAACTACCGTTTTGCACAGTGGTTGAGGAGTGCTGAAGACAGACAGGTCGATGTTGGAGCTCTAGTGCTTAGGGTGGATGTCATTAGAAGACAGCAAGACATCTTAAAGGTATTTTTTATTATAGGTTGTTTTCAGTAATATTCATGCTATTGCAGTAAAAAGAATATTGTGTATGAAAAAAAAAAGAATAAGCCCAATTTTTAAAAAAGGAATGATCAGAATTGTTTACCAATGTTGGCAGCAACCTTGCTTTTATTCTTTGTTTGTAATTTTGGCAAATAATTACTTTTTTATTTTAATTTTAATGTTTCTGTAAGTTTTTTGTATTTTTAATTTTAATTTTTTTTATTGGATGGTCGATAAAAACATTTATAAAATAAATCTGCATATAAACCTTGTTGTTTATATCCACAGCAAATAGAAGCAGACATTGCAAGTCACAACAATGACTTTGAAAGCACCAATGCAAGTGCCAACAATTTGTTAGAAGTTTCAGATGTCGATCAGCAGTACATCAAGGACGATCTGGTTGACATGACTACACGCTGGAAAGACATGAAACAAGGTCATTTTAATATTGTGCTACCATAAAACCTCGAATTGAAGCCCTGGGTTTCTCTTTTTTGCAAATTTTGGATGGGCTTCTTTTTGAGATGCTTCTTTTCGAGGCTACTCTTGCAAAGTAAATGGGGGTGGGGGCTTTTTTAAAATAATTACTGTAAATTTTGTGAGTCTATTTCGTGAATACTTACCTGGATAAACCGACTAAATTGCCATTGTTCCCAAACGGAACACCCCTTTGAAATAAATGGAACAGTCCGACCCAGGGCGCCACCGTACGAAAACGTTCTCATTCCCTTTTCGACGTTCGTTGAAAGTGAACCTCCTTTAAGAGTTGGATCGAGTATTTCCACGTTTCTCGTTTTCGCTACTGCAAGAAGGATTTTCTACCTTTTTCTGCCTTGGATTTTATTTTCAAGAAGTTGTTTGGATTCTGGAATTTTGTTTTTCTGCCTTGGATTTTGTTTTCAAGAAGTTGATTATACTACATATCCTTTTTTTGTAGCTGTTGGTGAGCTTCGTCCGCTCTGTCCGCGCGCAAGTCCTTGTGCTCGGCGTGTGGGGGCCCCAAACCGAGTGTCAAGCTGGATAGGCACTTGGAGTGCCCTTTGTGTCGTGCGTGTAGCAAAGCGGAACCTTGCGAGGTTTGCGCGTGCTGGCCCCCTACTAAGATTGCAGCGGCTCTTGATTGGGCAACTCAGGCTGCTCCTCGTTCTCAGAGTTCGTTACCAGCTGGGTCGGGGTTGTAGCGGCGTCAGATGACTCTCCTCCGCCATTGGAGGGTCCGTCGGTCTCGTCTGGTACTTCGCCTTTTGCTGCCCTGCTGGACACGGCTTTGGTTTCCTTGATTTCAGAACAGGTGGGCTGTGTTGCTAGGGAGGTTTTTGCCGGGATGAAGGTCGCTTCGGCTGTGCCTGTCCCGTCCATTCCCCCGGTTTCCGACCCCAGGGACAGGAAAATTTTGTGAATTAGTACTATGAAACAATAAATAAGGCCACTGTAACATCAATCTGTATCATGCAGTGTACTTATTTGGCATTAAATCACCTAAACTACTGTATAAACCAAGCTCGTTTAAAATTTATTTTGTTTTTGAATTTCATGTACAGTGTACGTAATGTACTATCTCGAAAAGAAGCTTATGCTACCTTGAAAAGAAGCCTGTGGGCCTCTTTTCGAGGCTGATTTTCAAACCAAAGAGGGGGCTTCAATTCGAGATGGGCTTCATCTCAAGATTAAGCCCATTGGGATTCAATTCAAGGTTTTACGGTATTATTTTGACATACAGTTATATGTAAAGATATTCTTTCACCCAAAAATTTTAGATAAACACGAAAATTAAAAATGATGAACATTTAGAAGATCCACATAAGTTAACTCAACATTCAGTAATGATAACTTTTATTGGACTTTTTTTCTTTTATTTGTTATTGTTGTTATAATTTTTATATTAACACAAGCACTTTGAATTAATACAGATGTTTTTGAGCTGATGCAGCTATTTAACAACTTGTCGAGTACACTGAAGGACTTTGAAGACCGCTACGTTAATGTGATACAGGCCATAGAGAGGTGGGAATACAAACTGAGCTCACGTGCAATTACTGGAAAAGATATCAAGGTAATTAACCATTTACATGTTATAAATATAAACATTTGCTCATTTTTCACCTATGGATAGTCCATAAATGAAAACATAATGGTATATACCTTGGGAAATATCTGGTTTTTCTATGCAAGACTTAAATGAGATAGATATTATAGAGACATAGTGTAGGGATATTAGTTGTAATTACAATAATAATTTTTATTTTAAAAATTTATATATATTATTGATACTATAATTATATTGCTCTATTTTAATTATTTTACAATTAAATAAATATGTCTTTATTTATTGGTCTTGTGGTTATTTGTTTCAACTTAATATTCTTTGTATTAATTTTTATTTTGGTATTTCTTTTTTCAAAAGCATGTACATGAAGACATCAAATCATTAGGTGATGAAGTTACAGCAATCCAGCATCTGATGAACTCGCTCATCTCAAAAGCGCCCTCACGTATCGACAGTGCTGATGTTAAAAAGAATGTGGAGATAATGAAGAAACGCTATGATGCTCTCAAAGCAACGGTACTTGAACGGCAAAAACTTTTTGAGACTGGCAGACATGAGATGTCTTCATTCCAGGTATATTGATGTTATTTTATTCAGAAAACTTGATACATGTCTATATTCTTCCATACAAAGATAATCATAACTAAAACCCAGGTAAAAATAATTAATGGCTTATTACAATTAATGTTTAATATTTTTCAATACTACATCTAACAACATTACTACTTCTTATTTTGAGCGACATATTTAATGATTATTTCAGCAAATACTGAATGAAATTCATTCTAAGTTAGCAAGTCATGAGGACGTGATTGATCAGCATACTCGAGCCCAAGATGTAACAACACTGCTGAAACAGATCGAAGAAGTGAAACAGATCTACAGCAGCCTAGAAGGTGTCAAAGGCTTACTAGACCAAGCAACTCGTACATTTAGAGTCATCTACGATAAGGGTTTCCTGTCTGATCCAGAGAGCTCACGAGAACAGGTAAGATCCTCAACATATTGATTTATTTCATTTACTCACCAATATAGCATCTAACATAATAGGCCAATATTAATTCTACTGATATTGATATAATTATTTTTTCATGTTAAAAAATGAATATTTATTTAATCATAACCATCTTTTCATATATTATTTTATCAATTGCATTGTGATAAGTGTTTGCATGTTCAGTATTTACAGAGAAAAGCAAATTTAATTTTTTTAAGAATTACTAATAAATTCTATTTTAACTATCTTATTACAGCTTGACCTTTTGAGCAAACGCTTTTACCGACTGAATGAGCAGATCACATTACGATTAGATGATTCGCAAAAGATCATGGTAAAACATGGACAGTTCCAAGATGTGGCTGAACTGATTTTAGAAAAGTTGAGGGCAGCAGAGCATCAGCTACAAAGTCAGAAACCTGTTGGAAATGACCTGGAAGTGCTTAAAAGCCAGCAACATGAGATTCAGGTAATTTAGTTTTTTAAATGGTAGGTAACTATGGTATTTATACTCATATGACTTTCACATTGATTAGATCAAAGTGGAACATTCCACTAAGCCTCAGATAATAATAATATAATATTGAATAATAATATCTAAAAATGCACATTATCAATTTTGTTTATAAAGTCCGCATATGGCAATAATATAAGACTGACCAATGACATTGAATGCGACTATTCAGATCAATGTGACAGTAAAATAACCTTTTTATATACGGACTACATAAATTCCAGGCATTTGATTGGTTAAAAGCCGGGCAATAGTTTTAGATATTATTATTCAATATTATATTATTATTCAATATTATATTATTCAATATATTATTATTCAATATTAATTATATTGTTATTCAATATTATATTATTATTCAATATTGTATTATTATTCAGTATTATATTATTATTCAGTATTATATTATTATTCAATATTATATTATTATTCAATATTATATTATTATTCAATATTATATTATTATTCAATATTATATTATTATTCAATATTATATTTTTTTTTTCACTACACGAAGGTGTTCATCAAGAGCTATGTTGATCCACTTGTTGAGAGGATTAAAGACCTGAATCATTTGGGACAAAGTTTGCTTGCCCTGTGTGTAGCAGCTAAGGTCAATAGCCAAACACTGCAAGTCCAAATGAAAACCATTACAGACAGATGGAAGATTCTCAATTCAAAGGTGAATATTTAACTCACTTGTATTATTGTGATTCTGTTGAATAAGATAGCATATGCAATCATTACTTAAGTCAAATTATTTTGAGTCAATCAGTCAAACATACTCTCTTATATCAGCGTCACTATTTATCACGATGCTGCGCTCGTAATGTGTGAAATGTTTATAATGTATATCAATAAAAAAAACATAATCTACAATCGAAAAATGTGCTATTACTGTGTGCAACTGTTGGGTACCTCTTTTAGATTATGGTATTATTTTTAAATTTTTATAACAAAGTAACTTGTATTTTTACAGCTCTCCGAGCGTGAAGTAATGCTAAATGAAGGATTATTGCGATGTGGAAAATTCCAAGATGCTTATCAGTCCATCTTTAATTGGATCAAGGATACTGAGCAGCTTGTATCTGCCCAGAAGAACCCTCCATCAGACCATCGTGTCATCAAGGCACATCTTCAGGAACAATTAGTATGTTGAAACATTATTCTTTTAGATTTTTCAATCTTATACATTTCTAGTACAGTAGTGTAATTTCGGCCACTCACTGCATTGTGCAAAAGTCGTACGACCGTTGCCTGACGAATCAGACTCTGTTGCCTGTGAGCGTTAAACGACGCGACACCATCTGCTGATCGTCGATGGTAGTCTGAACAGATCGTCATTAAAAGGATCCATTGCGTGCGCGTTGTGCCGTTGCGTTCTCTATAGAATATATATATTTATTTATAATTAATTTTTGTATTTCAGCTGCTTGATCGCTTGATCACGGACCGTAAGGCTAGTGTCCAAGCTTTGCGAACAATGGGTGAACAATTAGCCAATATATCGGAACCATCCGATCGTGTCCAAATAAGCCGTAAACTGGATGAGTTGGAAAAACGATGGACTGCACTACAGGAAGTCGTTCAGACCAGAAGGAGCAACTTAGAAGTGCTGGAGCTATCGACGAGAGGGCAAGTCCATGAACGAGAAGTTGAGACTATTGAGAGACGTGTTGGCCAAAACTCCACAACTATAGAAAGAAACTCAATGGTAGGACAATCAAGTCGCTTTACTTCAGAAAATGGTATTCGTGATACACCGCGATACAGCAGGCTGGATGGATCATTGAGGAGAGTTGATCTGGACAGTCGAAGTGAACAAAGCCAGCAACAGTTTGGAAGATTTTCAAGACGGGATGTGGAACAACAAAATGGCCGATGAAGTACGAAATCTGAGTCAAGAGACTGGAGTAGGAATTACTGAGGATCTTGAAAATTTAGTTTAGATCTTGAAACTTTTTTATATAATTTATTATTTTATATTTGGTGTAAATTTATTTTTTTAATAGTATAATCAAAAGTGAGGTTAGATAATAAATTCAATTATGTGTCAGTGGTTGCGATTTCTGTCTTTTACCCCAGTAGTTGGGTTTCTATTAGCAGTATGGAATATTCCAATAGTATTTAATTATTATAATTTGTTCGTTTATCGGGTTGTTTAAGTGCCTAGAGCTTATTGTAATATTCGTATATAAGACCAATGTACTTTATTTTTATATTACAGGTCTCCCTCCAATTAGAGACCACTTTTGGGACCAGGCTTTCCATGATTCTAACAGCTTTGGTCTCTAATTAGAATAATAAAGATAAAAGACATTTTGTTAATATGGGACCACAGAAAAGTGGAGGTGGTCTTTAATTGGAGGGGTCTTTAATTAGGAGGTGACCTGCATTGTTTTATCAATTTTATCGATCAAAAAATGTATTTTATTAATTACTTGAGGTTACTAACATTACTAATGCAAATATAATTATAATAATTAATGTCTGTTTCGTAAATACAGTACATAAATTAATGAAACAATGTGCCAATTTCAATTTAGTAACTTACCTCGAAAATAATGGAATCGTCCGACCCAGGCATATACTGATATGCAACAATGCTACTAATGCAAATATAATATAATTAATTGCTTTTTACATCTCATATTTATAGAGCCATACTATTTACCAAATATTTACACAGACGTATATTGATAATTACGTGTCCCTAGAGTGATTCTACTAAGTTTAAAATATCTTACCATCAAATAGATGGTTAATAATTATCTAGACAAATCAATATAATATTTGTATGCACATAATTATCAACATAACCACAATTTGAGGTTGTAATGTTCGTTGTAGCCAGTGCTTGTATCTAAACTAATAAAAATTAATCGTAGTCTCGAAAGCTCCGATGAGGGCAGAATAATAGAGGTAGTAGAGTATATTGGCCCTAACGGCCGCCCATACAAAAAAGATCTATTAATCAATCAGCCGAATGATTCTGGGGCCCTAACGGCCGCGCATACACAAATTATCTATCAATAAATCAGCAGGGTACTCATAAGCTCCTCATCGGAGCTAAAAATTGTTACACAGGATGTTACACCACTATTGAAGGCAAGGCCACAAATGCCAAAATTATACATGTTCTATAACGTATTGTATGTTAGTTAATTGTCATTATAATATGAATGAAAAAAAATATTAACATTTACCAGTGCCATTTAGAAAATTTATATTTATATTTGATTATTGTGCGGGGTTAATATTAAAATACGGGCACTAATATGGTTTCGGATGCAAGGTAGTACAACATATATTTCGTTTCATTTGGAAGTTACGTCCATTTTGTGAATAAATTACTTTAACTGGATAAACTTAACAATATTTGGATTCCATATACAACAGGAACAATGCCATTTTGTAGTATCCTGTGACAATTTGTTAATATGTCGTAGCACTTATTGTATGAACGATAATGATTATTGCCTATAAATTATAAATATAATCCGCTCCAATTCATCCATTATTCACAGGAACCTATTATCAATATTTTATAGGCTACAATAATTTTATCAGCTGAAAGACGGTCCTATATTCTATAAACAAATTAACATAACAATAACAAACAAAAAAAAAACAACACAGGTTTATAGATTTTACAAGTCCACTTATAGAATTGACTCACTGTAGCATACATAGGCCAGGTCCACATTTCTTGTTCGTTGAATCATCATTGAATTCGTAATTTGGAATTTCCAACTTTCTATTGGAATTTCCGCGGCGTAAAAAATCAAAAGGATATGATATTAAACGTCAGTGGCCATTTGAAATTAGGAACACCCATAATATCATTCATTTGCAATTGACCGTACGTTGTATGTAGACCAAATGGTAAGTTAACGTTTAAATGATTGAGAAATACTCAGCGACGCCTATTTGCAGTGATTCGATGGCAGATATAATTTCATAACAAGAGTCCGGGCTATGATTAATCTATTTGACGTTAGTCCAAATTAAAGGATCGTGTGTTATTAATGTTAGAATAAAGGTTGCCCTATATTGGGCCTTAGGTGTTGATGACGACACTTGAAACAGTGTCCATGTTTAGTATTTGCCTTTAAATTAAGTGTCTATAAATATATCTGTGGTTGTTCATGTACAGGTATGACTTGATTGATGCAACCATGGTGATACAACAAATTCCCATGACCGCGCTAAATAGACTTACAGTAGTGTTATCAATTTTTGTCATAGGCTTATGGGTTAAGATGGAGGTAGACATTTGCTTTTGTATACGTCAAAGTAGGTAGGGCTATACACCTATATAGTAATTGAATTTACTATGTAGGCCTAATGTCATTAAATAATTTTGCTGATGGTTGGTTATTTACACACGTTCATGTGTTCTCCTATAGTTTATCAGCTGTTACCCTTCCTGCGCTAAGACTTTGGAACGTTCCAATTCGATATAGGCCTATATACGTCAAACGCGACATGTGACCCAACTGTCTAATATTAATTTACAAATGTCATATGATAACAACCGTAAGTTCAACTGGCAAGCCACACAGATCAATCAATGAACTGGGCCTATAGGAAATGACAGTATAAACACCGGTAGGTGAAATTATAATTTTTGATACCGAATTGAACCGGACACAGTCAAGAATGTGAAGCCAAAGGCGGTACGGTAGGTAGAGTAACTTATTTTTAATGCCTATCCAACTGTTGCATGCCAATTCATTTGTGAAATATAGTTGATTTAGCCCTCCAGCATTCAGTAGTAGGTTCCTATGGGGTGTCATTGTTATTAATACTCCACGGTATAGCCTCTGCCGTGTCCTAAAGGTACGGTCTGAATGTCAATCGAAATTTTTAAAAATTCTGTTTTTGAGTCAAATGTTTCCCTCGAATTGTGTGTATTGGGAGAGGAGTGGAGGGTTTTTGGTGCGTACGCACCCATCGCACCCCCTTGTATGTTTGGATGCCTTGGACGTCCAATTAACCACAATTTAGAGAGGTTTATTAATCACTTCCTATTTCAATCACAAACTGATAGTGAAACCATTGATCAACTTACAATGGCAGTGACCAAAGAAGCAAAGCCTGCATCCAACAAGATATTCAAAGACAAATTTATATTCTGTTCTCGAGTCAAGTTCCCCTTCCGAATTGTGTGTATTGGGAGGGAAGAGGAGTGGAGGGTTGGTGGTGCGTACGAATTCCTGCGCCGCCCCTTGGATGTTTGGATGACTTGGACGTCCAATCAACTACAATTTAGAGAGGTTTATTAATCACTTCCTATTTCTCCCAAACTGATAGTGAAACCATACAATGGCAATGACTAAAGTAGCAAAGCCAGTATCCAACAAGATACAGTATTCAAAGACTGGTAGGCCTACCGTATATAGTAGGCCCCTAACACTACTGTGATTTATTCCTAGGCCTACACTGTTACAAATAATATATTATGTATTTTGTTTTTGTATTATTACCATTTTGTATTATTTACCATTAATAGCCAATTATTATCGATATACCTATTATTATTATTATAATACTAGTAAATGATACCATATATATTTTTATATATTCTTTGTACTGTATCTGGATATTACGTGATGGTCCGTGGGCTTGCAAGATTATCCATAGTATAGTACTGATTTTGGGGCCACTGAGATGTGCAAGAATATCGCTGAAATGAGTAAAATGCTGGGGTGAAAGTTATTGATACGCGATTCAAATTGTTGAACAACTTCTGGCCATGTGTATAACGTGATGCTGTAGTACTGTAAGTCTGAGTATAGCAGTCCCAATTGCATCCTCAGCGTTACATCAACTGTAACTCACGATACATGTTGTACCATATGGCACCATCCCTGGTTGTACAATGTTGTTTGTCTTATACATTGTGATGTACGTTCCTGGCATGTTTGTGTGTGACTACGGTGTGTTTGTTTATAAAACAAAACAAAAAAGGTTATAAAAACTGTTCTTACTAGAGTAGTGCTGTTAATTATTAAAATTACGGCCCGGTTTATCTGTACTTTTATTAGAAAAAGAGATAGGCCTAATGAGACGACTCAGGAGCGCAGCCAGGGTAAAATGTGAGGGTGGTCAAACCTTGCGAGCGCAGCGAGCAACTAGGCTGGGAGAAGAGAGCCGACAAAGGGCCCCCTGCGAGGCCAGGTGGAATTTATAAGATAATCTTTTATTGTCCACCGAATATGTATGGAATTCCTGGTCCACTTTTTTGGCCAAAATACAAAAATAAAGAAAGAAAAACAAATATAAATAGCCTATAAAACATTGTTTAATTACGTCAAAATTCAGATTGCACTACAAATATAAAAATTGTTTTATCAAAAGGTTATAAAACAAAATTCTGAATGTGTAAACAAGAAAATAAATTTGGTATGAGGTTTCACTGTTTTCTGGTTCCACCAACAAAAGGTAATGATTTTATAATCACAAGCCGATGAGGGCCCATTTTTAAATACGGTAGGTTTTTAAAGCAGGCAAGCTATAATACTGCAAGCATTTTCTCCGACATGAGAATGCATGTATGCCTGTATTTATTTTATTATCGCTTTTATATTATTTTCTTTAATAGTTTTGCTTAAGCTTATAATACAAGTTTGACACAGCTAAAGGTGCACCATACCATATCTATTTTTATATATTCTTTGTACTGCATCTGGATAGTACGTGATCACTGAAATGCGGCATCGCCGCGTCTAATTTCAGTTCGAATTGTTAGATAATCTGATTACATTTGTTGTTAAAAGATACTACAAACTTTTAAGGTGGTCACTTACGGGAGGTAAATCATAAGAAAAAAACAAAAGTTAAGAAGTGGTCGCGGTCGCCGCTACGGCAGGTGGTGGCTACCGGAGGAATTAATTGCACTGATTATATAGAGAAACAGGACATATTAGAGTGGACGTTATGGGAGGTGATCGTTACGCCCGTATCCGCACAGGAGGTTAAACTGTATTATACCAGGGAAGAGTTCCTCCCTGATTATACCAAATAATACTGCAATAAATTACAGTGTTTTCCTTTGCAACCTCGATACGGATAACTTGATTGTAATAAAGTTAAATTATTTTGATTATTAATGCACGCACAACGTTCGAGATTTATAGACGACACGGCGTGTGCGCAAGGTCTGAGGCAAGGAAGGGTCATTCAGTTACTCTGTAAATCCTAATAAAATAAGGAAGGTGGCTTACATTTCATATAGGCCTATTATATTTGTTCACATTACCGATCATTTACTACCGTACTACAATCGGGATATTTTTTTTACAATTTTGAGGGGGGGTCAGGACCCCCTAGACCCCTCCATCCTCCCACCTATAGCTGCACGACTGAAATTCACAAGTTGACAGTATTCAATCTGCACTGCAGCAGACTAACTGGCACCCTGTTATTTTATATTTTTTTATAGATCGATGAGTGCTTACATTTAATCGCTGTTTCAATTGTGGCTGCCCTGTTTGTTGAGTCTTCATTTCCTTTGAATTAGCATACCGTCATTATTTTGCGTCCCAAATCACTAAAGTAATAACCTTCACGTCAGTATATAGACCACTTGGGTCTTTGTTTTGTTTATAAGTATTGTTGTAGTTTTACGAGTATTGTACTGTAACTGTTTGTGATTCGAGGCAAGCTATTGTCTTGCTTTCTGTAGTCAACGGCGTTCCAATGCAATGACGCTTGTCAGTGTTTTGTCGTATTTTTCAAATTGATATGTCACCGTAGGCTACAAAACAACATTTCAGTGTACATTGACTCGTAAGCCATTGGAAGGAATATTTTTCAAGTCGTCGATCATGTGAGTATTTGTATCAGGAGATTGTTAAGCACTTCAGTAGCAATCAGCAGTATTACTGTACCAATATTAATAAGGTCTGAATGGGCGATGTAAGAATAAATCGACGCTTGCGATAGGCCTACCATATATATATATCTGGAAAGAACACAAACTTCCTTTTCAGAATTATCTACATGGTGTGCCGCAATAATTTATTATAGTACTGTCAATGGTAGGCCCTATGCATCATTTGATGAAGTTAGAACACCACGTGTGTCTACTGAAATGCCGTTAATTGCCTAGGGCTATTTTGCATAAAACTAAAAACATAATTACATAGGCAAATATATTGTACACTGTATGTAAAATGCAATTTGAGCAGCCTAGTATTAACTTTCCAGTGGCGGATTTCCTATGGATGCAAGTTGAATCAGTGACGGATATAAAACGGTAGCAAGGGCTCACTCCCGCACCCCAATTTCCACACCCAACCTTTTCCAGCAAGCAACTGAAAGTCCCAACAAATCTTCTTCATCTTACTTGTACTTTAGTACTTTATTTACGGGGACGGATCCAGTAGGGGGAACGGGCATGTTGCCCCCCCCCCCGGTTTTCTTTTAAATTTTAAAAATGTCAATGCAAATCAATGTTATGTGCTACACACTTTCTGTTTTTAAACTGTTGTGCCCCTCCCCCACCCCAATTTGAAAAATTCTGGATCCGCCCCTGATTTAGCATAGGGCCTACATTGAAATACAACATAATAAAAATAACAGTGATATATACTATATTAAAGAGATCATTAAAGAAAATTGCCTGTTTAAACGAAGAATGGATGTATGGGTGACCCATAAAATCAACAATGGTTAATTTATTTCCAAATGGGTCCGAAGCAGAACGTGCTTCCAAGTTCCTACTCTGTCCTCGCCCTCCAATGCCAATCGATTATGCTATACACTGGCCTCGCCCACCAGGTAAATGTCAATTCATTACGTAGGTCTAGCCATCCGTCGGTTAACCAAAAAGTGGTTTAAACATTAAGAAGTGGTTAATTTACTCACTGTATATTGCTTTTTTGAATAGGCCTCTCGATAAAGGAAATAATGTATCCTGATTGGCATAGCTGCCATATTAATTGCAAATATGCCATTTCCAAGAAAGCTATGTAATTTAAGTAGACACAACCAGGAAATCGGTCTCCTTTTATCAGGCCCGAATATGTATTACGACACTCGTGAAGTTATTTTTATTGTTCTTGATCTGTTCTTGTTCTTGTTAATTATTTTGAAATAATATTAATTTTTTTTATAAATCTAATTATTTGTACAGTATATGCACTAAGATTTACGAATATTTCATTATTGCTTGATTATATTAACAGCCCAATTTCTATTTCTTTTATCAACAGAATGGTATTAATAGGCCTAATGGATTTCGTTAGCAAGGACTGTGTAGACTTAGATGGCTACATTGCGGAGGCTCTCATCCCGCTAAATGCTCACTTAGATGCAATCAAAGCCAAAACTGACCATTTAATAAAGTATTTCAAAGAAAAAACGTCATTAAAAATTCGCCGTGTTATCAAGGTAATAATTATTATAGTTTCTCCTCTGAATATTGTAAATGATTAAATGTTTGTATACAGTACATTTAATACATTTCTTAATTATACAATACGAAAGGTGGGGCTAATGATATCACCATCACCATCGTCATCTTCATCATCATCATTATTATTATTATGATAATAATGACTGTACGTTATATAAATTCATCATAGGCCTAATTATAATAGCAATAAGATACTACAATATTACAATATCCTACACCACAAACAGAAACAACAAT